GAATCCTTATAGTCTCTTTGAGAAGCTGTAACAACTTTGGCCAATGTAGTAAAAGGACACGAAGCAGAATCATGACTTGTAGATGATGATGTCCATCAATTAACCGAAGCGTCTTTCAACACATCAGCATTCACAACGCTTCATGAAATATTTGATCCGAGAACACAATCAGATGGAATGTCTTTCTTAGCTATAGCAGGACTTGATAGAACGGTAGGTGACTTAGCTAATACTTTCGATGCTTCGAGTGATGCAACATAAGCTTCTGTGAGAGAAGCAGGATGATTAGAAATAGAACTAGAAAAATCCTGATTTATCGATTTAGTCTGAGGAAGGTTTATTCCATTCAGGTTTATGTCAATATCATCACGTTCATTTAACCTTTGCACTCTGCTTGATATAGCGTTGAATGCTCTACGATCTTCCATAGACATAAATGGGGTATGACTAAACGGGTCTTTGGATTCAGTTGAGTACAACTGCTCAAACTTATCTTCCAGTTCCTCCTTAGCCGAGAGGTGATTAAGTACACGGTTGTTATCACTGAATTCCCCATAAGGACCGAACAGCGTCCAATCCAATAAGGTCCTCACAGCAGACGGCTTATCTGTCTTTCCAGTTTTCATCTCTTTCGTCTCGTGTACTCTTGGTGCATTACACCCAATCAACAGTTTAACATTCTCATCTTCTACTCTCAGAAAACTTACGTCCTTTAAATGGGACCAGGATGCCATTTGACACGCCGTTGGCACAGTTCTGTAAACTGCCGGTAGTTTTCTGACTGTAAATACTTTCTGAATCTTAACGGATGATAAGTCTATAGCATGCAACTCTACATCTACCTCTTTAGATACCGATAACGATTCGTTACTAATAGTCTTTAGAGACACCGTTCTCGGCTTTCCTTCAAGGCCTAACTTATCAGCTAGATCTTCAACTATGGGAGAGGTGTCTGACCCACTAGAAAGGCGCACGTCTGAATAATTCTCTCACCGTTTCTTATCCATACGGGAACTACTTCAAAGGCCACAGGCCTCTGTATGCCATTAACGTCTTCCTCTGTACAAATCTGAGAATTATTGTAGGTATCACTAATAGTATCTCTTCGTTCTTCTCGCTTCTCATGTAACAGAGTATGGTGTCTCCAGCCACATCCTTCAACAATACACGACCTCGGCGATCGACAATTCTTTGCTGTATGGTTCGCTTTTATAAAAACATTACGTAACTTATGCTTAAAGACGAACTCTTTCCTTTCTTTACCATTTTTGTCTTTAAACTTCTGGTTTTGATCTAAGGGATGATTGCTTGAGCAACCTGGACAAGGTGAACTATGTAAGGAGGTATTGCCGTCATTATTCCTTGCACGTGCTACCGTTGCTATGTTGTAACTTGCGACAGCTTTCTCTTTCAAAGCACCAAAATCTCTTTTGTCCAGATTATCGCTGCGGTTGACAAGTATGCCGTATCTAGTGTTAGCTATATCTGACTGCTCTTTTTACAAATTCAAAAAGGTCGTTGAATGAAGGCTTCCTACCTGTCTTGAGAATTCGACACGCTATTTCGACGCATTCTCCCTGTAGGTATGGCGGTATGGCTTTCGATGGTTTTCGTAGAATTAAGATCGGATAGGTAGTTCATTTTTGTGAGCGTAAGCTCACAGATACACATCTCACGTGCTAGCCTTCTTAAACTATTTGGGTCGGTCTCCTTAATAGCAGGGATGTTCAACATCTTGTCGATAAATGCACGCGGAACTACGTGTTTCTTACCGAATGCTCCCTCATGAAGCTCTAACGCTTTACGATAACCTTATTCCGGTTGAAGCAATGTGCAATAGGCAATGGTAGCCTTGGCTTCACCATCACAATATTGAATCAAATAGTTTAACTTAGATCGAGGTCCGATGCTTTCATCAAAACAATCCTCGAGATTTCGTATGAAAAACCAGTACTTCATAGGATTACCATCGAACTTTATGATTTCTCTCTTGGGTAGGTCTAAAGCTTTAGATATCATTCCTACCCAGTCCTTTCTTGCATTATCAACTGTACGTGAAACGGATGTAGATTCGCACGATATGACCTTCTCTTCCTGTTTGCCGTAACCGTTCTAACTCAATTCCCCTTTCTATATGAGCTAAACGTACTTTAGCTAATTCTAATTCTAACAAAGGATCCATTCGGAAGCTATTTCTTCCAGACTGGTCTTCGCTATGAGTTTCTGAATAGTGCGGAGACAATTCAGGAATCTGATCAGTTTTATGATCCTCGGTAGACATTTGAAGGTACTCAGTATATGAACTTCTGATGAGCTACTGGCCGAAACTATGTAGGATTTAATTTGTCCTACAGATGTAATTCAAAAATTGTAAACGCAAATACTGCCGCTGACGGAACCGAGAGTAAAATCAGAACAATGAAAACTTGGTTTTAAACTGTATCTATTTCGGCCAGTATAGTGTGTCTTTAGAATATGAATAAAATACATGAGTCACATCTATATAAAATAAAATAATAACATCCTTCAATCGATAGGTCATTCACAACAAAGAAAGTTTATAGACCGGTCAGACTAGAAGACGTGCTGAGCGCTTAACCAAACTGTTATGACATAACTACAATTTGTTATAAAATAACTAAAAGTCCATTCCAACCCTGGCATTAAGGTCTCCCATAAGAATCGTCAAATCCTTTGGTGAACATTTCTCGACGATTGACTACAGCCTCTCGTAGAATTGATCTTTAACGTCGTCATTGTAGTCATTGGTAGGTGCATAACATTGGATGAAGTTCATAGTAATGTCCTCTTTCTTTGTGTTGAAGGATGATTTAATGATCCTGGTCCATGAGATTCCCATCCTATCAGTGCCTTTTGTACATGTTTGGACAGCATCAGTGCAACTCCTTGTGTATGTGAAGCGTTTTCCTCTTCATGAACAGAGAATAACAGCAGTTCCACTGAAGCTAGTCTCAGTTGTCCTACCTGTGTCCAGTGTGTTTCACAGATGCTGAGCACCTCGATGGTGAATCTTTTCATTTCTGCCGCAACTTGAAATAGTCTTTCAGTCTCCCACAATGTACGAAAGTTCAATGTACCTAAAAGAATGGTTACTGTGGTTGTGAGAAGAAGCATCGGCTCCGTGATTCCCGAGGGGACTCAGCGTTCATCACGGCAGGTCATAATCATTCTGCGAACTCCTAGGGCAGAGTTAAAATTATTTGAATTATTTGTTCTTGTAAGCGTTTCTTGACAATTAAGATTTAGTTGGAATAGGGGCGCCAACCACATGTCTAAACCCTCCTTGTTTATGCGTGCTTGGAACAGGCAGAAGTCGCGAAGTGACTACAGGACGAGTTACACTAACAAAACAGCAATTAGGACTGTTTATCCTCTCGTCTTTCATGATGGGCCAAAACATGTCGATCAGAATAAACATTTACAAAGTCTTATTATACCAAGTATATCGGATGGAGAGTTATAGAAAAAGCAATGAAATACACGAAATAACATCCAAGGAAATCAAAAGTCTTAAACCCGCTGATGCAACTAAATAAATAACCTTATTTTATCGAGAACTTAACAAAGTACCAGGTGTTAGCATGAAAGACAATGAGTCCCCAAGCACTGGTATCAACATACAGCACGTTCCCAGCATTATTGTGATCTGCACTAAAAACAGCAAGGCGGTCAAATAGAAAATAACATCTGTTCACATAATGATCAACCGTCCCATTAAGCATTGTGAGGAAATCTAGGCTGCTTGGTAGGAGTCCAGTGTCAATGTTAAAAATCTACAATTTGCCATCTTTCGTTGGAACACATATGAACTAGTAGTATTCTGTAATTATCAAACTGAATTTGAGGCTGTTCTATAAATCAGATTACGATGGATATCACTTTTACGTTATGCCTAAGTGGGCAACAACCCTGCTACATTTTTTCAGCCTTTATTACTTAACAGATGGACCATCATCGATTAAAAAAGTGAACGTATTGGTAAATATCACTAGCTATTGATCGGCCCGAAGGTCACAGTCGCCATTAAAAGCAAAGTTTAGTAACAAGTCAAGTAACCTCAGTGAGTATTTTAGTTTGGAACCAGCGACCCTAAGTACGTAAATGTTACTCAAATGAAAACACTACACATATGGTTCGAACAGTACTACTTCGCTAACCGACTCTACGCAAATAGGATTAATACCGAATATAGAGCATACAACAAACTCTTACAGAGGGGATCCACAATCTTAAGTGAATAAGTATTCAGTAAAGGTGTGGCAAAATCGGAAAGTGTGCACAACTTTATGCATAAGATCTTCAGTGGTGAAATCAGGAACATATAGATAGGTTATAAAAATCCCGTTGTACAATAAAAATCAAGAATCGTATGAACAATTACTTCCGACTGATATTGCCTTATTCATAAATCGAATACTTGAACTTGCCTGCGCCAAATGAATCAGTAATCCAGCCATCGCGTATTTCAGAGTTAATCCTTCGTGCAGGTCATTAGAAAGGTCGGTGGAGTATTTTCACCTTTTCTTCACTGAATGGTTGTCAGATTCTCTCATTGAATGTTACTACGTTACAAATTAATAGATCATAACGCTCATCTGCCACATGCAAAATCAGTTACCACTTTCTTTTCAAAATGAGACAAATTTCAAACTCTTATTACAATGTTGCATTGCAAAAGTTTCGAATAACTAGTAAATATCATATGGACTTCTGTCCTATTTATTAAACACTTATGGTTTGTGTAGCCATAAATTAGGCGCAAGCCTGAAATGTTCGCGTTACAGCGGGTCATTGACTCCTTCTGAACTAAATGTCCTTTACTTGACTTGTTCTGCTTTCCTTTAAGCGGGATACTGTTTCACACAGTATCTACAGTGTGTATTCAAGAATTCGGCCAGGTCACAGGGTCTGATGAAGAAACCGCCCGTTCATTTCTGTCAGCTTGCAATAATAATCTAAACTTTGTTGTTATTCTTTACATGGATGATCCAAGCAGGGTGTCTACTCAAAGTTCGACGGAGGAATACCGGACCCCTATTCCTCAAAGAAATGAACAACTACTTCCCGTTGTTGTGCCTCTTCGTAAGTTTATCAAAATAAGTATTTATTTGTAGCTTCATTTAATTGGTAGTATGTTATTGCCTGCTGTGATTCTATGCACATGTTAAATACCGTAGACCTTGATGAAAAGTTTTTGTCTAGCTGTTAAAGTCTGGTTTGTTTGTCACATAATCTGACCACTTTAGTAGTATAGTAAATTCTTAAGTATATTTGCGTTTTTGGAAGAGGCTAATATCTTAGTTTGGACTTTATTACCCCACAAACAGGGTTTCTTTCATTGGTAAGACCACTATTCACTACGTATGTATAACAAACCTAACTATTTTTGGATTTTGCCACTCCTTTACTGAATATTTATTCACTTAAGATTGTGGATCCCCTCTGTAAGAGTTTGTTGTATGCTCTATATTCGGTATTAATCCTATTTGCGTAGAGTCGGTTAGCGAAGTAGTACTGTTCGAACCATATGTGTAGTGTTTTCATTTGAGTAACATTTACGTACTTAGGGTCGCTGGTTCCAAACTAAAATACTCACTGAGGTTACTTGACTTGTTACTAAACTTTGCTTTTAATGGCGACTGTGACCTTCGGGCCGATCAATAGCTAGTGATATTTACCAATACGTTCACTTTTTTAATCGATGATGGTCCATCTGTTAAGTAATAAAGGCTGAAAAAATGTAGCAGGGTTGTTGCCCACTTAGGCATAACGTAAAAGTGATATCCATCGTAATCTGATTTATAGAACAGCCTCAAATTCAGTTTGATAATTACAGAATACTACTAGTTCATATGTGTTCCAACGAAAGATGGCAAATTGTAGATTTTTAACATTGACACTGGACTCCTACCAAGCAGCCTAGATTTCCTCACAATGCTTAATGGGACGGTTGATCATTATGTGAACAGATGTTATTTTCTATTTGACCGCCTTGCTGTTTTTAGTGCAGATCACAATAATGCTGGGAACGTGCTGTATGTTGATACCAGTGCTTGGGGACTCATTGTCTTTCATGCTAACACCTGGTACTTTGTTAAGTTCTCGATAAAATAAGGTTATTTATTTAGTTGCATCAGCGGGTTTAAGACTTTTGATTTCCTTGGATGTTATTTCGTGTATTTCATTGCTTTTTCTATAACTCTCCATCCGATATACTTGGTATAATAAGACTTTGTAAATGTTTATTCTGATCGACATGTTTTGGCCCATCATGAAAGACGAGAGGATAAACAGTCTTTATTGCAGCTGTCAGTGTACTTGTCGAGTACATCCTCCTTTACGTCTTGCTAGTTTCGTGCTTTGAACGGCACTTTTAGTTAGTCTCTGATCACCAGTTTCAACTTTAGTACTTAGGCCTTCTCTTTTCAAGATCAATAGGCCATGCAAATAAAGCTAATAGTATTTTGTATAATTTTGTTCTTCATGAGATTCACTTTCACGTTTCAACATCATTGACTACTTAGTGAGTGTAGGTCATGGTTTATGTTTTCTTTTCAACTACGAAGTACCTGCTCGTGCTACAGTACTGTTATCTCCTTTTTGAAGAATAATTTATGCATATCTTTTTAGCGAGTATATTGAGTTTTTGTAGTAAGAACTTGTCGAATGTTCTAAAGAGATGCATAACAAATCGTTAAGTGGTATTTTGGACTGCCTAGGTGACAAAAACTATATCAAGGGAAAAAAGACCTTAAGAAATAAAAGTTGATCATGCTATATTGGAACAAGTGATTGCCAACTGTCGTACTACAGATATTTGAATCTAGATTTTATCATAGTGCTAAAATTGGACACTAATATTTTCTAAGTAAAAATGCTTATTGACAAACCACTGCTATAGAGGCTATAATCAAATGTTATTAATTGTTCACGAAACCTACAGACGTGGAATAGTGCTGCAAGCGCTTACCATGTGAATGGTGAATTTCATCCATACTAATCTACACAAATTCAGTCAGTCAGTCAAATTAGCATTCTCCAACCAACCCTATCTGCCGCTCTCCTTTTCAGTTTTTTCTCCGATTGCTATTCATTATTCTCATCTCTGTTTCCGATTCTGGGTCATTGTGTTCCTTATGCAGACAGACAGATACAACGCAGAACTTCGTACGTAAGTACATCAGTTCAGGTTGCCATACCCCATCAGCACAGAGACGCAACTGTCAGTTCAAATCCAACTGATAGCAATAATAGAAGTATTAGCAGTAATGAAGAAGATTAGGGAGCGAAGATAGATTAGAGAAGTATAATTCAGTGAGATAAATTTAGAAGGAGAAAGGTAGAGATTATTAGGAGTGCAGAAGGTTAGAATTTGAGAGAATACAAAGAGTGGAAGCACCTACGCCATTCCAAACGATTCTGAGCCATGTCGTTCAAGGTCTCTAACCATCGGTGACGCAGGTTGGCAAAAGCCAGTCGAGCCCCCTGTATCCGAGCTGAGATTTCGTCAGTCACCAGGCTATCAGCACTGATGAGACTCCCTAGATCAGTGAAGCGATCAACACGCTCGACTACTTCACTCCTTATCACTAGTTCAGGTGCCGATGAAACCTAACCTTGAAGCAACATTCGGCGTTTCGACGGGGAGAACCGCATCCCGAACCTGCTTTCATTGTTGCTTAGGGTAGTCAGAAGGCTCTGCATTTTATCAGCGTCTTCACCAAATAGAACTATGTCATCGGCATATTCTAGGTCAGTAAGCGATTTTCCTGGTAGAAATTCGACTCCTGAAAATTCAGAGAAGGAGTAGGTTACATCTAGCAGCATGTCTATGACAACATTAAACAGAATTGAGGAAAGTGGACATCCCTGACGGACACCACTTGAAGTGAACAATTACGGTGACAGTTTGCCATAAGCACTCACTCTACCAGTAGTGTTCGAGTAGAGTGCTTGTATAAGGGCAATATAATTCTTTGGTACACCTTTCAATGACAGACACTGCCACAGAACCTCACGATCCACTGAGTGAAATGCCGCTTTTAAGTTCAGGAACACGACTATTGTCGGACGTCTAAATGTGTGTCTGTTTTCCAGGACCTGTCGTAGTGTGAAGATGTGGTCTATACATCCACGTCCAGGTCGAAAACCAGCCTGGTTTTCTCTAGTCTGCTCTTCACGAGTTCTAGTTAGACGTCTAAGTATGATGGAGGCTAACAATTTAGAAACTATATTAGTTAAACTTATTCCCCTGTGATTGTCACAAGAGGACATTTGTCCTTTCTTATAAATTGGCACAATCAGGGATTGAGACCAGTCGGATGGGATTGTGTCCAGTTCCCAAATTCTACCTAAGATTTCAGTAAATCTATCTGCTAAAGCTGAACCACCATCCCTAAAATTCTCTGCAGTCAATCTATCGGGTCCTGCTGTTCGCCCTCGCTTTAGATTTCCTATAGCCTTCATAAAGGTTCAGAGAGCTCACGTCGACTTGCCATTCAGGATGACTGGAGATCGTGGGTAACCTAAGAGTGGCTCGAGGCCAGTTGAACTGATCCCTAAAGTGTTCTGCCCATCGATCCAGTCTCCTGGATTGAGAATAAATAATAGTCCCATCCTTTTCTGAGATAGTCTCACTTACAGTAGGATTCCTAATACCAGTTTCCTTGATAAGTCGGAAAAGTTGTCTACTGTTGCCGATAGCCACTGCCTTTTCCATCGCTTTTGCTTTCGCCACCTACCACTGTTCACGGTCGTTGCGCAGGCTTTAAATGAGCCTGCGCTTAAGCTGACTTCGTTCTTCAACATGTTCAGAGCCAGGTGGGATGAGTTTGGTAAAGCTCTTTTCTTCTGACCCTAAATGTTCCACATGAAGGCTTGTCCCGTGATGCAGTTGGGTGTCTTCCGCAATCGGTATTTTCCTCAGCTGAAGGGATCTGGTCTGTTCTCCCGTTCTAGGGTGTTTCTGATGGTGTCTGACCAACGGATCGTCGGCATATCACGTAAAATACAGTTTATAAATGTCTGTATCTTGTGTATGATGGCATTTGTAGTTCTTCAAGTTTCCGCGCCATGTTGATTGACAGACGATCTTTAAGTGTAGAAATACTGCCGTTGCTTTACCATCCAATCCGTGTCTTTACATTTTCATCAGTGATGCTGCCGAGATATGTATTAAGAGGTTTTTGTTTTCCAAAGCTCTCAAAGTGTAATTTGGTTAGTGCATACTTTGTTGTGTCGGCGGATCGTGATTTTCCCTTGAGTGTTTTGAGACCTGCTACTGTTGTTGTTGCTGCTGCTTCAGTAGAGGTTGCCGCTACACTGGTCGTTTTGTGCATCTGCAGCTGTATGTGGGATGGGAGGGATAGATCATCTTCAAAATCGAAATTCTGAAGTTTCATCGTTGCTGTCCACAATATTCCATGCTTTCTCTGAGATGCTGACGTCTTCCAAATCTAGTCAAGCACCAGAAAAAAGAGAAAGGTCGGGAGTAAGCAATGTTGTCTGACGCCGGTGTTCACTAGGAATGGGTCTTTGAGTCCTCCCATGTCCTCCATGCATGGTTTTGCAGTTTAATCCATCATGAGAATTCCGTATGATGTTGGCCATCATCTGAAGTATACTGTGGTGTCCAGGAAGCCTCCACATTCCCATCCTATCCCCGCTGTCAAATGGTTTTTCATAGTCAATGGTGAATTCAATTAATTATCCCACAATGACCCATCTGTGCTTGATTGATTCTTTCGTGATCCGACCTAGTGATCTCGAAGTTAGGCGTCCACTGGAACTTTAATTCTGTCGAGCAACACTCTGTTGAAGCATTTTCCTGGTATTGAAAGTAGGATGATGCCTCTAAGGTTCTCACACTTACTGAGATATCCTTTCTTTGGTGTCTTAATGAGGGGTCTTTCTTTATTCAAGTCTGTTTGTACTTGTTCTTCCTTCGAAGTCTTTCTGAAGAGAGCGTGGAAAATCTTTGTATTCACTGCTAAATCTGCGTTTAATGCCTCAGCATGTAGGTTCTGCTTCACCACTCTTGTTTATTGCCCATGATGACTGTTTTTATTGTTATTAGGTGAACAATATTTGTGATTAGATGCTGCTTCGGTGTTGGGTGGATTCAGTGGGGTTGGTTTATTCGAAATTGCTCGGAAGTGTTCCACCCACCTGTTTCTCTGTTCCTCAATGTCGGTTGTCGGTTCGCTTTCCTTTTTCTTGGCTGGTCGTTCTGGCTTACTGTAATTTCCCACTAGGTTCTTCATTGTATCGTATATTTGTCTCATGTTTCCTTATGTTGCAGCTTTTTCTACTATCATTGCTAGATCTTTCACAAATTTCTGTTTTTTTTAGCTCTGGTGCCCTTCTTCACTTGTTTGTTTGCTTCTGTGTTTGACATGTGCATCGACTTTCTCTGCTCTTGTTCAGCTGTTATTGATTTCCGTCTTCTTATTCTTCTTTTCTTGAATCTTATCTAGAGTAGAGTATTCAAAGGGGTTCATTGCTTGTGATGGTCGTTCTTGTGTCCCAGAACTTCATGATATGCTGAAGTTATTGTTTCTTTGATGCGTTCCTAGATTTTCTTCATGGTATTTTCTTCTTCGTTGAATAGACCGTGGAAGGCATGGAACTTATTGCTGAGAGCTATCTTAAGTTTCATGGTAAAGGTTTCTTAATTCGTGGGTTAGAACTTCAGAGCTCCATTTAGATAGAACTAATAATAATATTTTGCGAACTTCAAGGTGGTTAAACTTATTTGTTCGAGATTAGACAAAAATTAAACGTCCAGTTTAGACGAATCTTAAAACTTTTTCATTTGACAATATTCCAATTTTTATATCGAATTTCTCGTTTTCTAAGACAAAAGTTATCATAAAGTTTTTATCTTTAATTAAACTGCTAGTTCCTGTTCATCTGCAAAACTCACCCATTCTGCAAACGCGTCGACGCGCTTTCGTTGCTGAAGATTCTGACGACAACTCAGATGATGATACAGTGACCAGTGGTGCAAGATGCCGATCATTAGAAAAGTCGAAGTTGATTTCGAAATCGGTATGTTCATGTTATTAGTTCATTTTTTGGTTAGATATTGTTTTGACAAACTTCTAACGGTACCCAGTTGTATAGTTCACGTTTTTGTGTATGTAAATGTTCTAAGTTTTACTGACTCTACTCAGTAAAACTTAGAACATTTATATACTGAAACTTCAGCCTGGTGTCTAATGAAATCTAAGCACGGATAACGAAGGCTTGATTGGCTTCTGCCAACTTGCCTCATTTATGGTTTAGGCAAAATATCCGTCTATCAACAAAGGACGAGTCTACTGCCTATCACTTCGCTCCGTCCTACTTTGTGGCTTAGTCAAATACAGTCTTCAAGTGAAGAAATGAGAATGTAGTTAATCATTTGTATGCGTTGTAATGGCTGCTTAGATATATTTTCCAGCTAAATCCTATTGCTTAGTATTCTCTGACCACACAATACACTGGACAAGTTCCCAAGAATCAAAAACACGGTTGAACAGGAAAAGATTGTATTCCAAATAGCAAGGTTAAGTGGAAATAAGAAGCCAAGGGCGAAGGCGAAGGATAGCAGGTCAATAGATGAAGTGGTGAAACCTCATTAGTTGAGGTGGTTGAGACATGTGTTACGTATGCCTAACCACCGACTGCCTCGTCGAGCTTTTTTTTGTAGTGTAGGAGTAGATTGGAAGAAAGTTAGGGGCGGCCAAACCAAAACATGGCAGAAATCCATGAAGTCATTGACGAGTGGACTTAGCAATGTCGGTAATTGTCGACTACCACCTGGTTGGGTTCCGCGAGACGATAATAATCAATGGTTAGATACCTTGAATGACATGGCTCAAAATCGTTCGCAATGGCGCCAGTGCATTTATGCTTTGTGTTCTCTCAAATCCTAATCTTCTGGGTTCTTCAACAACTTAAGTTTTGACTTTCTAAAGTTATCTCACTGATACATACTTCTTGACTAATATCTTCTAATCCTAACCTCTTCGATTACTCCTAATACCTTTACTACCTCTTCTACTATTGGGTTTGAATTGACAATTACATCTCTGTGCTGATGTGGTATGGCGACATGAACTGGTGAATGTACATACGAAGTTCTACGTTGTAACTAACTGACTGATTGACTGACTGACCGAGTGTCTGAATTCGTTTGAGTGGGAAGAGTGTTCGTTTAATTTTCATTTAATAAATATTTTAAATTCCTTTTTTTTGTAGTACAAACGACCAGTTTTTCTGCATCGTTTATAATATTTACTTCTTACTTTACTTAGCTTTCTCTATTTTCATTTAACTTTGCAATAGACATGCTTGTGTTATTAACACTAATCATTTGATTTCGCAGGGGTGGATCTTGTACAAGCTGATTGATTTGCTTGTTGACTTAGTATATGCAAATGACATAGTTTTGTTTTGGTAAAGACGCCGACAAAATAAATATTGTTTTAGTGAACGATATGTAGGATCCAATTTCGACGTTTTGATTTTGAAATAACTCTGCTCAGGAAGTTTAGATACGCGTCTTGCCCTGTTGAAATCCAAACAAGTGATCTGTGTAATTTACGGTTCTAATAATAATTATAAATATAAATCTACTTTTTTTTACCAAAACAAGAACCACTCGGTTACTCCTTCATTGATAGCACAGAGTGCTCCGATTTTGGAAGAATGCTTCAATGTCCGATTCAAATTGCGCACTTCTAGTCCGTGTAAGCGCACCAACCTCCAGGGGACTGAAATCGATATGACTGTTGCCATAACTAAGTATCAGCTTCAACAATATAAAACAGTTCAGAAACAAACATAGAAACTCAGTAAAAGCGCAAAGAAACTATAATAAAATATAAATATTATCATCTCAAAATGGAATTGAACAGATAACCAGAATGTAGAACTGAAAGAATCATTAAGGACAAATGAGAAATGTATACTTGTAGGGATTTTCACAAACAAAACCTTCCAAAATGGATCTTATATGGGGATCTGACTAAATTTTGTACAAACAATTGCATTTGCTATGAATAAATTGTTTTTCATCTGATTTCCGTATATTATTTGTAGTAGTATTGTAGTGAACGAGAACACAGGTGGGGCAACCGAATTGTATTTAGCAAAATTACAGAGTTACTCAGTAAAATCGGAAAACCATATCGTTAATTGTTATTTTCCAAAATATCAGTTCATCCTATGGAACTGGGCGGTTCCTGTTGCAAAACATCAATCCAATGTCACTGTTCATGCGTTTCATACAAATTCCATTGTGTTCTTCTAACTCTTCCTTTCTTGATCTTCCCCCGTATTATGCTTCCAGACATTACGTTGACACTTACGTCATATACTAGTTATAAGTAGCTAACACCACAGTATCATTTTTTCCAACGGCAGTAGTTCGAAGCCTGAAACTGTTTTATTTGGATGAATTTATTGCATCCATTCATTATGTAAACAGACATAAGAATGAGGAGCGTTAAATCGAAGTGAGTTGGCCAACTCCATTCGATGACATATTACTAAATATTTATGGTCAGACAGAAATGAGCTAAACATGCGCTAAGCAAATTGAGCGATGTACACACGGATTAACAAGGTCGAAGTATGTGCTAATAGTGACTCTAAAAGTCTGATTTAATTGGATTGTCCAACATGAAGGACATTTCGTGTAAGGTCAACATTATTAGTGCACAGTACAAGCCTTGGATCATCTTAGGCAAGCATATTGTTTCAGAATTGGCTTGCACCGGCACCTGAACTATTGATAGGGAATGAATTAGTTGATCGTGTTAACTACTCCACTCATCTCGAGAGTTTCGCAGCTTCCGATGATGGCCCTGTGTTTAATGAAATCCGGGCATATGAAGAGAAGGGTCGACCGGCTTTTACCAACTTGTGTGACTTATGGCATAGGCGATATTTGTGTTTGCTAACCAAAGGACGAGTGTACTTGTGCAACAGTTCGCTCCGTCCTACTATATGTGTGTAAAACATTGCCGGTAAGAATAGAAGATATGTATAGGTTACCAGTATTCGATAATCGGTATCTTCGAAGCATTGCTGAGATCACTGAGTAAATATTCCAGTCAAGAAATGAGTACTACTTGTTGGTATTGACTGTATTAATGTAATAATTGTGTTTTAATCACTAAAATCACAAATTCACTTACTTCTAATCCTGTATACTACTAAAACTACAGAATTAGTTAATCACATCAAGAAAATATTATTAGATGTAAATAATTCTTATCACATCTATTTTTTTTTTAAGGATCATTCAATGAAACAACGCTGTTCATACGAACATGATGAATCTAATTCATCTTCAATCATTACAGATAATGTTAGTTCTGGTTCGTCTGGACATTTGAATGGACATAAAGATGGTGTTATAAAAAGGAAACGAAAACATTTACAACAACTTTATCAACCTCCAGTTGAGATATTGTTTAATGGAACAATACATGCTGTAAGTCACTTGTTTATTTCAAAATCCTAATTGGTTAACGATTCAAATAGATTTTTTTTTCAGTCTTAAGTTACATGTTATAACAAGTTGTCTGCTCAGCAGTTCACTCCTCCCTACTCCGTCACTCCAATCTCCGACTGCCTCGACGAGCTATGTTTAGTGGTGTAGGAGTAGGTTGGAAGAAAGCTAGGGGGGGCCAGATCAAAACATGACACAAATCCATGAAATCACTACTACTACTTCTCTCCTACTATGGGATTCTAAGTGACACGCTGTTTTGCAGCCTGAACGGATGTACTTACGTACGACGTTCTGCGTTGTAATTCACTGACATGGTTTTAATAATCTCTACAATGTCATCGGTACACCTCAAGTCTCAGACTCTTGACTATCTACATACATCAGCTATGTTTTGACAAGTTCATTCCCATCGATCTTTAATTGAAACTGTGTTGGTAAAATATCGATGAGTATCGCCATTCCAAACAGAAAAATCGGTTATACATACATAAGCTTAGCATTAGGTAGTCTACATCTGCCAACATGACACAGACCACTTGTCAGTGACTTCATTGATTTGTACCATATTTTCGTTTAGCTGCCATGTAGCTTCGTCCCAGCCTACCCCTCCACTACAAAACATAGCTCGTACAAGCAGTCAGCGGTTGTAGGTACGTAATGCATGTCACAACAGTCTCAACTGATGAAGATGCAATACTTTATCTATTGATTTGCCATCCTTTTCGTAACACCAGCATTGCTTACCTAATTTTCGAACAATGCTTCGGAAGATGCTACAGAAATCCGCTACTTCTCCGTTACCCTTTTGTTAACTTTGCTGGCAGATATCATTGCTGTTTCCACAGCATTTCGAATATAATCCTAAGCTGTGTTGGGGTGAGAATCATTTACATCGCTGCCCTAACTGTTTTTCTAGTTGCTCCTGAAATATATTCTTAGCTTTATTATCATTAAGTAAAACCCTAAGAGGTTTCCTTATATTGTCTTAATCTAAACATGTGCCGAAGAACGAGCGACAGTCCTCTATCGAACCCCTCCATCGGTGGCTGATGGCGATGTGATCTAGTTGCGTCCAACGTTGAGTCGACTTTGGGAGTCACCAGGTCAAAAGATGTTTTTCCTTATGCCTGAAGTTAGTGTTTGCTAAAAATAGGCGGTTATCTGAGCATACCTGCAACAGACGGTCGCCATTGTCTGCTCTCTGAGCCACGACACCATAAGATCTACCAAGGTGTCTTTCCTTTTCACTTAGTCTACCTACTCAAGCATCAAAGTCATCAGCAATTATTACTACATCAGAACGCCTAGCTTTTTGGAGGAGGTTCGAAAGCTTTCTGTAGAACTCATCTTTCACCTCATCTGAACTGCAGTCAGTGGGGGCATAGGCATATATGACGAAGAGGCAACGAAGGGTGTCTCTGTCTTTCCGCGTCTTTACTGTCCCGTTTAGTCGGACAGCGCACAAACGACTATCTACAGGGATCCGGTCTAGGAGAGCTAGTTCTGCCCTACGATTCAATGCTATACCTACACCAGCGAGACCCCTGGAAGCACCATCAGGGTTACCGGATACACGAAGAGTAAATTGCTCTGCTTCTTTGTTTTGAGAAGGTGAAATCAGATTAATAATTTTACTAGGATCCTGTTTGCGCGTTTCCGAGATGCAGCATACATCGATTGCGTGAGATTCTAATGTCCTAGCTAATGATGCCTGTTTCTCTATTTGACACAACGTCCGTACATTAAATGCTCCAACATGTAATTTAAAACGAGGTTTCAAGAGACCAGGAATGACGCTTCGTGAACTCGCATCGTTTGCATTAGCTGTGCAGTGTGATAAAGGAATGTGAGAAGAGTTTGCCGTTAGGGCGTGTAGGAAGGATCTAATTATGACCTATTTGGTCTTGTTTCTTGAGAAACCTGAAAAGGAAGATAGATTAGTGTTGGTCTTGGAGACCTGGGTGCGTGATTGCAGAGTCCGAGGGACAACTGCTTGAGGCCGGTCACGCACGGCCTTTTTATGAAAGGATTTTTGAGCATTAGCTCTGCTCTTAACTGCCCTTACCACCGGAGGCGGAAATCCGTGAGGTAGAGTGAGGTGTGACATTTTTAGGGTCGACCTTTTCTAACCCTTCCTTCCTTCCTTGTGAGAAGGCAGCATCGCTGCAGATGCTGGTTGTCCGAGTGAAACACCTTACTGCTGTCACACCCCTCTGCAGTCAGTCAGCAGTACGACTTCGCCCTCAGACTTTGAGTAGCTGCTTTTAGTCTCATCGCTCTCCAATCGACCTACCTGGCATGGTATAACCTTCAGGAACATATGTTCCAGCCAATATAGGTCGGTTGGGTCATCACGATCACCACACCAAGGTAGCAGCTTCGGTCGGGATATAAGGATGGCAATTCAGTGGATAAAGTACTGCATCTTCATCAGTTGAGATTGTTGGGACTGCCTCGACGAGCTGTATTTTGTGTCGTTGGGTTAGGCTGAAAGGAAGCTGTGGGGTAGCCAGTCGAAAACATGTTATAAATCCATGAAGTCACTGATAAATTCTGTGTTATGTTGATAGATGTAGACTACGAGGTTGAGGTCTGCAAGACAATAGTAACCGATGGCTAGAGAGTTTAAAGTACATGACCGATAACCGTGTACAATGATGTTTTGTCGGTTTCTAACCTAAGTTCCCCAAGATTTTTTTTTCTGCTTTTAAAAAAACTATATTCCTCTATGACATTTTCCTCAGATGATATCTTCGTTTATTAATCTTTTTGATTACCGCTAATACTTCTACTACCTCTACTACCTACTTTGATATTTTAACTGACAACTTCATCTCTGTACTTTAAGTATGGTTTTGCAACTTGACCTTCGAACTGTAGTAGTTGAAACATGTTGCAAACTTTGAGATCAATGAGTTGGTAGGGTGCGCATGCATCTCAACCATCATGTAACCATATATTTTCCATTCTATCAAACGCATATTTTTCCATTTTTAAAACAGGCTAAATTTGCTGCACAAGAAAAACATGCTTGGTTACTTGTCAGTATACATGATGAAGGATGTTTTGACTGTCATTTGTTAAATCGTGATGTTTGGAAAGATTCGAAAATCTATCAACTTATTAAACGTCATTGTATTTTTGTACAAGTAAGTATAATACTATTTATCCTTGTGTAATATGCATTTTAAATTATTATTCATTGGATAGTATTCCATGTATTTTATATTCCTATACATCAGTGTTATAACAGTCTCATCAGTGCTGATGGCCTGGTGACTGACGAAATCTCAACACGGATAGAGAAGGCTCGATTGACTTTTGCCGAATTGCGGCGTCACTTATAGCGCAGGCGAGATATCCACTTGCTAACCAGAGGACGAGTGTACTGTGCAGCAGTTGGCTCCGTCCTGTTATACGGATGCGGCACGTGGCCATTAAGAGCAGAGGACTTTCGTAGGTTACTAGTCTTCGATCATCGGTGTTTCCGAAGCGTTGCTCGTGTATCCTGGGACAACCGAGTAAGCAATGCTACAGTTAGGAAACGAGTTCTCGGTAGGAATGGCAAATCAATAGATGAAGTGGTGAAACTTCATCAGTTGAGGTGGTTAGGGCATGTGTTGCGTATGGCTAACCACCGACTGCCTCGACGAACTATGTTTTGTGGTTTAGGAGTAGATTGGAAGAAAGTTAGGGGCGGCCAGACCAAAACATGGCAGAAATGCATGAAGTCACTGACAAGTGGAGTGAGTCATGTTGGTAAATTTAGACTACCTGGTTGGGGTCCGCGAGACGAAAATCACCAATGGTTAGAGACCTTGAACGACATGGCTCAGAATCGTTTCCAATGGCGCAGGTGCATCCACTCTTTGTGTTCTATGAAATTCTAAGCTTCTGCATTCCTCATAATCTCTACCTTTCGCCTTCTAAATTTATCTTACTGAATTATACTTCTCTAATCATATCTTCGCTCCCTAATCTTCTTCATTACTGCTAATACTTCTATTATTGCTATCACTATTGGATTTGAACTGACAGTTGCGTCTCTGTGCTGATGGGGCATGGCAACTTGAACTGATGTACGCACGTACATCACGTACAAAGTTCTACGTTGTAACTGATTAACTAACTTACTCCAGTTTTTGTACCTAGTCTCAGCTTGTGTGAATAATGTACAATAATGGAAGCCTCCGGAATGACGTTTGTAAAACATAGTAAAAGCTACGCCGGGATAGTAACAATCCTTTAAAATACGGTGATGATCAGAAACGACGAGTTACCAACTTCATTTAGATTGGAGTGACCAGATTTCTTAAACAATGCGTAAACAAACCTTGCTCTCACTAACTTTGAACTAGTGAATAAGAGTGATCGGGTAACAAACGTTATTAGATGGTGGTTATATAATTAATTATCTAAACAAGGTCGAATGAATACGAATAATACGAATTGAAATCAATTGATTCGTAATCAAAAATTATGAATTCAATAAAAATGTAAGAAAATGTCATCATCATCATCATCATCATCATGAGAAAGTGTTAAAACCAAGGATACGCTCTAACAGAATGAATACTTACTTACTTACTTGCGCCTGTTACCCCCAATGGAGCATAGGCCGCCCACCAGTTTTCTTCAACCAACTCTGTCCTGGACTTCCCTTTCCAGTTCTGTCCAATGTTCGTTCATTACTCTCATATCTTTCTCTTTTTCTCGGCGTAATGTGTTCTTTGGCCTTCCTCTTTTCCTTTTGCCTTGAGGGTTTCATGTGAGGGCTTGTCTCGTGACGCAGTTCGGTGCTTTTCTCAGTGTGTGTCCTATCCACTTCCACCGCTTCTTGCTCATTTCCTCCTCCACTGGGATCTGGTTTGTCCTCTCCCACAGTATGTTGTTGCTGATGGTGTCTGGCCAACTAACCCGAAGGATTTTGCGTAGACAGCTGTTAATAAACACTTGTATCTTCTGGATGATGGCTTTCTTAGTTTTCCAAGTTTCCGCTCCATACAGTAAAACTGTCTTCACATTTGTATTGAAAATCCTGATTTTGGTTTTGGTTGAAAGTTGTTTTGAGTTCCAGATATTTTTCAACTGTAGAAATGCAGCCTTTGCTTTGCCAATCCGTGCCCTCACATCTGCATCGGATCCACCTTGATTGTCGATGATTCTGCCCAGATATGTAAAGGTGTTAACGTCCTCCAAGGCATCACCACCATCAAGAGTGATTAACAGAATGAATAAAGAAAGATTTATTACAGTTTCTTTTTTTTGACTATAAAAAATTTGGTTTGAGACCTTTGATGTCTTCTGGTCGTAGTAGTAGGCTTCAGAAAATATCAGTAAATGGATACTCGATAATTTAACAATCCACTTGTTGTCTGTCCTATATCAAAAAAAATTTCTCGAGGTTGCACTGTTGAGAGAATACCTGTCATCCTATTTGACTTTAGACTTTTTTTAAAGTACATTTTCTAACCAATTCCATCTTCTGCCCTTCTTTTCAGTTGTTTTCAATTGTTATTCATTATTCTCATCTGTGTTTCCGATTCTGGGAACAGTATGTTCCTTGGTAAATCTCTTTTTTTCTTTTCACCCTCGCTATTCCACGTGAAGGCTTGTCTCGTGTTGCAGTTGGGGGTGGCTTCCGTTATGTGTATCTTCCTTCCTTAGCTGGAGGAAGAATCTGGTTTGTTCTCTCACTGTAGGCAGTTTCTGATGGTTTCAGTCCAACGAATCGTCGGTATGTTGTATAGGCAACTGTTCATAAACACCTGTATCTTGTGAATGATGACTTTTGTAGTTCTCCAAGTTTCCATTTCATGAAATGGAACTGTTTTGACGTTGGTGTTGAGATTTGTGACTTTGGTATACAGTAGTTGCAGATGATTCTATACGTCAGTAAGTCAGATGCAACGTAGAACTTTGTACGTAAGTACATCAGTTCATGTTGCCATACCTTATCAGCACAGAGATATAATTGTCAATTCAAATCCAATGTTAGTAGAGGTAGTTAAGGTACTAGAAGTAATCGAAGAGGTTAGGATTAGACGATATTCAAGAAATATGATTCAGTGAGAAAAGTTTAGAAAGTCAAAACTAGAGGTGTTGAAGAACCCAGAAGATTAGGATTTGAGCCGTGTCATTCAGGGTCTCTAACCATCGATTAATATCATCTCACGGACACCAACCAGGTAGTCGAGAACTACCGACATGGTTCAGTCCACTTGTCAATGACTTCATCGATTTCTGCCATTTCTGCCAACCTATTCCTACACTACAAAACATAGCTCGTCGAGGCAGTCGGTGGTTAGGCATACGCAGCACATGTCCCATGATTCTATACGTACTAGCTAGTAAATGAATGTTTAACTTTAGATGTAAGTTTAAAATTTTGTAACATGCATTAAAATGTATGGTTGACTAAATCATCATCACCTTGGATAATATGAGTAAATTTACCAGTATCATCTTATACAAATTCAATATTTTGATTTGAAGTGAGCATTCCAATTCTATTTTTTATTGAAAATTTATTGTTTCCAATATACAGAAGTTGTTGTAAAGCTTGTAGAATATTCATAGTTTGGAATGATGAATCGATCTGATGCCACCGGCTCAATAGTAGTAGTAGTGTGGTGCGAGCTACTTATAAGTAGTATATGACGTGAGTGTCAACGTAATGTCTGGCAGCAGAAGATGGGGGAAGAACAAGAAAGGAAGAGTTAGAAAACAATGGAATTTGTATGAAATGCATGAATAGTGACAATGGATTGATGTTTTGCAATAGGAACCGTCCAGTTCGATATGATGAACTGATCTTTTGCAAATTAACGATTTACGATATGGTTTTCCTATTTTACTGAGTGACTCTGCAATTTTCGTTAAATACAGTCCGGTTTCCCCACTTGTGTTCTCCTTCACTACAGTAGTAGCTTTGACGTCACGCTAGACTGAAGTTCCTAGGTTTGAATCCAAGACGTACAGTCTTGGATGCGCACTCTTAACGTAACTTATCCACTTCTGACTGACTACAGTATCGATTAGACAGTGATAATATCAGACATTCCTCATGAACCTAATGCAAATCTCCTTCTATTATTAAAATGTGTGGTTAGTAATAGATTTTCACTGACAAGTGAACTGAGTCATGTTGGTAGATGTCGACTACCTGGTTGGAGTCCGCGAGACGAAAGTCACCAATGCTTAGAGCGACATGGCTCAGAATCGTTTGCAATGGCGCCGGTGCATCCACTCTTTGTGTTCTCTCTAATTTCTAACCTTCTGCATTCCTCATCATCTCTATCTTCCTCCTTCTAAATTTATCTCACTGAATTATACTTTTTGAATCATATCTTCACTCCTTACTGCTAATACTTCTATTATCGCTATCACTGTTGGATTTGAACTGACAGTTACGTCTCTGTGCTGATGTGTTATGGCAGTCTGAACTGATGTACTTACGTATGAAGTTCTGCGTTGTATCTGTCTGTCTGTCTGTCTAGTAATCAATTTACAATTGAACTACACCATAATGAAAGTTTTATGTGTTTATTTCAAACAACTAATCTGAAATAATGATCACCATCATTATTGTTATAATTTGGTATGTATGTGTGTATATTTTTTTGTGTTTTTTTCTTCTTGAAATTCAGATACCTGCGGATAGTTCTGAAGGTTTACGCTTTCGTAGTACTTATTCTTATGTACAATCCGCTTCTCATATAGCTATTTTGGATCCGTTTACAGGCGAGCAGAAAATGATGTGGACGCATTTGAATGATCCAAAAATTGTATATGATGTTTGTAAGTGCTTTATGCATGCATTCATTCATTCATCCATTTATTCATTCATTTTTGTGTGTATAATTTCCAAAAATTTCATTGTTACACTTCAAGTCACAAACTGTCGACTACTTATTTACACTAACTAACACACATACAGGTCCTACCATGCCAGGCAGGTCGATTGGAGAACGATCAGACTAAAAGCAGCTACCCAAGGTCTGAGGGCGAAGTCGTACTGCTGACTGCAGAGGGGTGTGACAGCAGTAAGGTGTTTCCCTCGGACAACCAGCATCTGCAGCGATGCTGCCTTCTCACAAGGAATGAAGGAAGGGTTAGAAAAGGTCGACCCTAAAAATGTCACACCTCACCCTAACTCACGGATTTCCGTCTCCTTGGGTGAGGGTGCCCACTAAGGGCCTTTAAGAACGGAGCTAATCCTCAAAACATTTCATAAAAAGGCCGTGCGTGATCGGCCTCAAGCAGTTGTCCCTTGGGCTCTGCGGTCACGCACCAACACTAATCTATCTTCCTTTTCAGGTTCCTCAAGAAACAACCTTCCACGGTGTGGGCAGCCGGGAAGTGACAACCGCCCTCATACCCGTAACAGCACGCGAGACCAAATTGGTCAAAATCAAACCGAAGAGTGGCTCGAGGCCAGTTGAACTGATCCCTAAAGTGTTCTGCCCATCGATCCAGTCTCCTGGATTGAGAATAAATAATAGTCCCATCCTTTTCTGAGATAGTCTCACTTACAGTAGGATTCCTAATACCAGTTTCCTTGATAAGTCGGAAAAGTTGTCTACTGTTGCCGATAGCCACTGCCTTTTCCATCGCTTTTGCTTTCGCCACCTACCACTGTTCACGGTCGTTGCGCAGGCTTTTAATGAGCCTGCGCTTAAGCTGACTTCGTTCTTCAACATGTTCAGAGCCAGGTGGGATGAGTTTGGTAAAGCTCTTTTCTTCTGACCCTAAATGTTCTACATGAAGGCTTGTCCCGTGATGCAGTTGGGTGTCTTCCGCAATGGGTATTTTCCTCAGCTGAAGGGATCTGGTCTGTTCTCCCGTTCTAGGGTGTTTCTGATGGTGTCTGACCAACGGATCGTCGGCATATCACGTAAAATACGGTTTATAAATGTCTGTATCTTGTGTATGATGGCATTTGTAGTTCTTCAAGTTTCCGCGCCATGTTGATTGACAGACGATCTTTAAGTGTAGAAATACTGCCGTTGCTTTACCATCCAATCCTAGTCTTTACATTTTCATCAGTGATGCTGCCGAGATATGTATTAAGAGGTTTTTGTTTTCCAAAGCGTTTTCCAAAGTGTAATTTGGTTGGTGCATACTTTGTTGTGTCGGAGGATCGTGATTTTCCCTTGAGTGTTTTGAGACCTGCTACTGTTGCTGCTGTAGTAGAGGTTGCCGCTACACTAGTCGTTTTGTGCATCTGCAGCTGTATGTGTGATGGGAGGGATAGATCATCTTCGAAATGGAAATTCTGAAGTTTCATCGTTGCTGTCCACAATATTCCATGCTTTCTCTGAGATGCTGACGTCTTCCAAATCTAGTCAAGCACCAGAAGAAAGAGAAAGGTTGTGAGTAAGCAATATTGTCTGACACCGGTGTTCACTAGGAATGTGTGTTTGAGTTGTCCTCTATGCATGGTTTTGCAGTTTAATCCATCATGAGAATTCCGTATGATGTTGGCCATCATCTGAAGTACACCGTAGTGTTCAGGAAGCCTCCACATTGTCATCTTATCCCCTCTGTCAAATGGTTTTTCATAGTATATTAGTATACATATATATTAGTGAGTTCCATTCAATAGTCTTTTCCATTTGATAGGTGCAAAAATCTTATCCAGAGAATCAACAGGGATTCATTCTTTTTTTTTCTAGTGACTCAATACATCATGACATGCTCAAGTTATTTATTGTCTCTTTGATTCCTTTTCCACTTCTTCATTCATGATAGTTTCCACCTTATTGAATAAACCGCAAACCACTTTGAATCTACTACTACTACTGAAAGCTGTCTTAAATTCATTCTTTGAGTTTGCCAATTTGACGAATGAGGGGTCTTATAGTACTTGTGTAATGCCATTCGCCTATTAATTATCCAGTGCTTTTTGTAGTTTCATTTACATCTTGGCCCCAACACCACATGATGATCTGAAGTTACATTAGCCTCTTTTTTTTATTTTTCATGTTCTCCATTTTTTTTTAATTTTTGATGCAAATGTAAACTGTTTGTTTTTTGTGTGATGTTGTGTGATCTGTTGAAACCCATGTAGCTTTGTAATATCGTGTTTGTGTGTGCGTGTGTGTGTGTGTGACTATGATACATTGTTTTGTGAAAATTCTGGATAAAAGTCATTCGATTGAAAATTGAACGTGATGAAGACAATTTAAATCTTGTTAAGGCGGCTGGCTATACACAAAGTATTCAGGGGTTTTTCGGTCTACTGTCATTTATATTCGTTGAGTTATTTGATTGAAATGCTGAATTTGATAGTTACGGTAAGATCATAGATCCACACACACATTGATTCAAAATGGAGATGGGATATTTGTTTGTAAATTTTATGAGTTTATCTGTTTACCATGTGTGTGCAATATCTGTTATTTCCTTTTTGATATAAGTTTCACTGGGAATGTCACCGATGACCTGTTGACTGACGAAATCTGAGCACGGATACAGAAAGCTCGATTGGCTTTTGCCAAACTTTGTCACATATGGCGTAGGCGAGATATCCGTTTGCTGACTAAAGGACGAGTGTACTGCGCAGTAGTTCGTTCCGTCTTACTTAATGGCTGTGAAACATGGCCAGTGAGAGTAGAAGATATTCGTAGGTTACTGGTCTTCGATGATACGTGTCTCCGAAGCATTGCTCGTATATCCTGGGTCAATCGAATAAGCAACGCTGTTATTAGGAAACGGGTGCTAGGTAAGGATGACAGATCAATCGATGAAGTGGTGAAACTTGATCAGTTGAGGTGGTTGGGACATGTGCTGCGTATGCCTAACCACTGACTGCCTCGATGAGATTTGTTTTGTAGTGTAGGAATAGGCTGGAAGAAAGCTAGAGGCGGCCAGGCCAAAACACATGAAGTTACTGACAAGTGGGGTCCGCATGACCTTAAATGGTATGGCTTAAAATCATTTGTAATGATGCAGGTGCATTCATTCATTGTATTCTCTCAAATCTTAAACTTTTTAAAATTCTTCATCACCTTTTGTCCTTTGTCTTTTCAAGTTCATTTCAGTAGATTTCTATTTCTATTAAATCATATTTTCCAACTTGAATCTCTTCAATTACTGCTAATGCTTATTACTATCTCTATATAATAATAATAATAAAACTGTGCCCCAAAATATCGTAACAGTGCTCACTAGTGACTAGCTTCGTGAGGGAATTCTCGGAGTTCTAGTTGAGAAGACGTGACCAATGGAGTTCAACCTTGTCGGGTGTAGGCAGTAATTACCAAAGACAAATGGGTGAGGTCGCGCAAAATCCCTAGATCAATCAGAGTTAGACATTAACACCGTTGGATGCCGGCCCAGTGGTCTAATGCTTAGGCGTTCGCGCACAATACCGTAGGTCTCGGGTTCGAATCCTCCGAGCAGTAGGAGTCGTGGATACGCACTGCTGACGAGTCCCATAACAGGACGAAACGGCCGTCTTTCAGTGCTTCCAGGTTTCTAATGGTGGTCTAACAATGATTGATTGATGATTTCAAATGTGTAAAAAACACAAACCTCCAAAACTGTGCCCCAAAATACTATAAGTATTCAATTACTCATTCCATCTTCGTTATGCTAATGTTGTGTATTATAGCAAAGTTTAATGTGTTTGAACTAGACTAACTTCAACTAACAATTTTTAAACAATTGACTGACTGGCATTTAAAGTACTCACAATTGAATGAAAACTTGTACTCTCTCTCTCTCTCTCTACCTCTCTCATTCTCTTGTCTACAACATGAATTCATTGAAATGAAATTTAAATGGAATTCACACTTGACAATTAATTGCTTGCTACATTGTCATATTTGGAACATTGTTTTTTTTACTAATCAACCCCCCAATTTCTACTACATTCATACACACACACATGTTTAGCTAGCGCCTTTTTTTATTATTTATCTTACAGGTCATCATTTATTAGTTAAAGTTTCATTTGTATTTGTGTTGTTCATGTTTAATAACATTTTGTTCTATGGTAGAATACCTCATAAGTACATGTTATTATTATTATTATTTCAAGTTTCATTATACTAGACTGATGAATTGATCATACACCATAGTAGTAGTAGTCGTGGTGTAGTAGTGGTCATAATAATCATACGCCTTATACATAGAATGAATATCTTATACTTGCTCCATTTGTATGTTGTATGTACATCGTCGGGTTGTGTGTATGTGTGTGTTTACGCGTGTGTAGGTAGGTAGGTAGGTAGGTTGGCATTTCTAATGCTTGTTTGTTTAATTGTAGTGTTGTGTGTGCTTACATTTTTATATATACACATATGGTGTTAGTATTTGTACACTACTAGCTGAATCAATAATACTATTACAGCGCATACACATGTTGATGATTCTGTTCAGTGGAGTTTGTTTCAACAATGTATTACAATGTAATTTTAGTCAATCACTCTGTGAATAAATAACAAACAATTCATCATTGTCATACTGTGACAGAACTGCCGTGCTTTAGTGCTTGCAAGTTTCTAATGCTATCTCTAACACATTGATCGATTCACAGTTTCAAATTACATCATGCTAACATTATTATCACAGATTGTGGATTGATGACACTATTCGCTTCAAAGTTGTACAGCGAGCGGGGATGTACTTATTCTCAAGCTCAACGTTGTTGCTTGCTTGTCGTCTCCGACTTGGTTGTTATTGCCTTTCTGTGATGATTGGGTTTTTCTTTATAGACGGAAATCTGTGAATGTAGTATTGTATTTAACGAAAATTACAGAGTTACTCAGTAAAATCGGAAAAAACCATATCGT